ATCAACAAAGTTTATAATAATTATGTGTCAACTTGACTGGGCCACCGTGCCCAGGTACATGGTCAAGCATTCTGGATGATTCTGTGAGGAAGTTATTGGATGGAAATAACATTTAAATCAGTGGATTTTGAGAAAAGCAAATTGTTCCCATGATGTGAGGGGCCTCATCCAATCAGCAAAAGGCCCAAATAGAATAAGACTGACTTTTCTGGAAGATGAGAGAATTCTAAAACAAACAACCTTCGGGTTTAATTGCAACACCAAGCTCTTCTCTGGGTCTCTAGCCTGCTGGCCCACCCACAGAGTTTGGACTTTCCAGCCTTCATAAGTGTGGGTCAGTTCCTTAAAATAAATCTCACTATTCATCCTATTGGTTCTGATTCTCTGGACACCCCAAACTATACATAAAAAAAAATAATGTTCATGATTCCACATACATATAAATAATTGAATAAATAAATAAATAGAGGAAGAAGAGAGCTTCTAATTATGAAGCATTCCAGTTAATAAAGAAAGAATGAAGGACATATAAAATCATTATTAAGCAAACACCACAATAACAATTGTTGCAGAAACATTCACCTATGGATCCCAAAGTGTATGCAAAATTTCCTTACTGGGGAAATTTTGCATAGTCTTACAGTGCTCCCTCAAGATATTTATCCATTACACAGGGGGAAATAATAGCTTTGTAGTGGACAAAGCCAACTGTCACCACTGTAACAAAGGAATAGAGTTAATAAACAGTGGTAAGACATATTGACATCATGTACCCCTGATATGATCTGCTAAGAACACATACTCTGTGGTCTCTCTGAAAACACACAGCCACAATCTAAGCACATGACAATATCAGACAAACCTCGACTGACAGTCCATAAAATAACTGACCAGTATTCTTCAAAAGTGTTAAGGCCTTAAGGATGAAGAAAGACAGAGGGACGGTTACAGACCAGAGGAGACCACAAGCACAAAACCCCAATGCATGTGGGTATTGAATAAATGGATATCAGGAGGAAAACTGGTGAAATAAAAATAAATTTTGTTTACTTAAAAGTATCATACTGATGGTAATTTTCTGGTTTTGATAATTACACTATTGTTATTCATGTTACTAACATCAGAAGAAGCCCAGAGAAAAGTGCCTGCAAGCTTTCTGTACTCTTTTTGCAACAATTCTGTAGGTACGTAAATACTTCAAAATAAAATAGTTTAAAAAGCAGGGAAATAAAATGAGAATCTCGAAGCAATATCTTTATTAAAGACAAGCAGAAAACCATTCACAGTGGTGCTTGCCTGAATCCTAATGTCTCAGGAGGCTGAGGCAGGAGGATCTCGAGTTCAAAGCCAGCCTCAGCAAAAAGCAAGGTGCTAAGCAACTCAGTGAGTCCTTGTCTCTAAATAATATACAAAATAGAGCTGGGGATGTGGCTCAGTGGTCAAATTCCCCTGAGTTCAATACCCAGTACCCCCTACTCCCCCCCCCAAAAAAAGATAAGCAGAAAGAGCTTTGGAGCTAGGTGGAGTGGTTCACACCTCTAATCCCAGTGACTGAGGAGACTGAGGCAGGAAGATCCCAAATTCAAGGTTAGCCTCATTCAACATTTTAGAGAGAACCTCAGCAACTTAGGAAGATCCTGTCTCAAAATAAAAAAAAAAAAAGACTGAGGATGTGGCTTAGTGGTAAAGCATCCCTGGGTTCAATCTCCAGGACCAGAAAGAAAGAAAAAAATGAAGAGAGGGAGTTTGGGAATAGTTGGTTTGAGTAATAGTGATCCAAAGAAAATAAAGAGGTAGATATTTTTGCTTTGTAAAGACCACAGTAGTCTCCCCAGATTTTCATTTGGATTTTGGTTTCTCACACATCTTATTCTTTCTCAGACAGACCAGGTCACCGAGATAACTGGTACCAAGGAACACATGCCACCCCCTTTCTCACAGTGTCAAGGTCACTTTGAAGATACTTATTTCTCAGTCCCCCTCCCCAGCCACACCCTTAGTCATTCATTCAAAAGGCAATTATTTGGGGGGTATTTTTCCAGTTCCTCTTTTTTAAAAATTTGTTTTAATCAGTTACACATGACAGTACAATGATCTTGACATATCATACATTTGAATCAAATGGAGTATAATTTCTCATTATTCTGAGTGTACAGGTTGCAGAATCACATGGGTCATACAGTCACGTATATACATACAGCAATACTAGTGTCTATTTTATTCTGTTGTCCTTTCTATCCCCCTACCCCTCTCATAATCTCCAGTTCCTCTTTTAAAAAAAAATATATTAGCATTTACACCATTGCTCCATTCTGGCCAATGCCTCCCCATAACTCAATCAGAAATAGAAACAGTTCACACAGGTCTTTCCTTCAGAATGTGTAAACTTTGACACCTTTGTTTACCTCAAGTAAACAGCTTGGTGAGTGGTGTAAACAGATGTCAAAGGAGTCTTCTTGGCCTCTGAGGCAGAGGTGTACTGGTGTAGTTCAGCAACTGGTTATCGCAAAAACAAAAACAGTCCACTGGTTTGAAGTTCTTGTCAATGACCCTTGTGTCAATACTCCCACCATGGCAGATTTGAAGCTACGGAGGCAATGTCACTGAATGAGGAGCTGGGAAGAGACATATACCCTGGCCCTGCCACTGAAGCCAGCTCCAGCACACCTCTGCCCTCAGTGTGTGAAGATCCCGTCCATCCCCTATAGAAGGCCACAGCCCCCTCCTTTCCTGTTCTCAAGGCCTCCTTAGGCTATAGGGTCCTCCTTACCCCATGGTAGTAAACAAAGAAATGTCACTTTCTGCAGTTTCCACGAGTGAACCTCACCCATCCAAATGTTTCTCTCCTGAAGCTTTGTGCAGGTGTGGAGGGCCTATGGCTGCCCATCACTGGAAGCTTCCCAGGGCACATTCGGTCATTGGGCCCCAGGCTCTCTGCACATGTGTCTCGCTCCCCTTCCTCTTCCTCCTCTCCTCTCTGCCCACCTGCTCCTGTCCCATGGAGGGTAGCTGAGCCTCTTCTGTGCTGTCCCAGCTGGGATCCCTGCCCTTCTGGCTTTACTTTTAATCAAACAGGTTTATAAAGGTACCTTAGTAAATACAGATAATCCTCTCTAAAAATAAAAAAAAAAATTTAGAGCCTGCTGGAAACAACCAAAGTGCAATTCTATAAACCCAGATTCTCTCCCCTTTCTGAGAAAACCTCAGTGTTCTGATCTGCAGAATTGGGCATGATAATAAGTATCAATAGGGTTGTGGTAAATTAGAAAAAATGAGATGATGAACAGAAAATATAGCCTCCAAAACACTGGCTTCCAATAAGTCTGGTCCTTTGCCTTCTCTTCCCTGGACTTAGAGGATTGTTGACCAAAGATAGATGATGGGGAAGCCAGCCCAGGCCATCTTTCTGTTACTTGCAAGAAGCATTTGGAGATTTCAGGAAAGGTCTTCCAGAGACAGGATGCTTTTCTTCCCTGAAGCCCAAGTTCAAAAGTCAGGAGAAGGCAGGGCAGCTCTGTCCCTCTGAGCTGTGTGCAGTAAAAAAGCCTCAGACCCAGATGTCACCACTCATTCCTCTAGCAGCATTTGCAATTATTTGTGTGCTCAAAGGCACAAAGATAGCTGCTATGTAGGCAGAGTTGTCATTGTTTTTTAGGGCACATGCTGGATTCTACTAGCTCTCCCTAATGCAGCCACAATTCCACCTCCTACAAGCCACGTGGCACAGGCTTGTTTTCATATTCCAGCCTCACTGCTTACTGGCTGTGCTGGCTTTGAGCAAAATACCTAAACCTTCTGAGCTCCACTTCCTCACTTCAATTTCCACATGCCCAAGGGAAACCATGCTGCCACTTTCTACCGACTGCATACGGTCCCAGACTTATGATGGTTCCACTTAAACATTTTTTAGCTTGGTGATGGGGCAAAAGTGATACACTTTCAGTAAATTTTGAATTTTGATCCTTTCCCAGGTGATGATCAAGAATACATTGTTTTCTCAGTGCTGCTGCGAGGCCCAGCTTCTCGATGGCCTCACAATCAGGAGCACAAACGACTGAAGCTCAAGAGGTTCAATGTATTAAATGTGTTTTCAACCTAGAATTTTTCAACTGTTGATAGGTTTTTTGGGATGTTACTCTTTGTAAGTCAAAGATCCAGTGGCTGAGTGTGGTGGTGCATGCTTGTAATCCCAGTGGCTCAGGAGGCTGAGGCAGGAGAATGGCAAGTTCAAAGTCAGCCTCAGCAACTTAGTGAGGCCTTAAACAACTCAGTGAGTCCCTGTCTTTAAATAAAACATTTAAAAGGGCTGGGCATGTGGCTCAGTGGTTAAGCACCTCTGGGTTCAATTCCGGGTACTAAAAAAAAATAATAATAATAATAATTGCAGCTATATTTTATTATCATCCTCCTGTAATTCCTTTTTAGATGCTTTCTGGATCATCCTGTCTGCTTTCCAAATTCATCTAAACCATGAAGGGGTATGCCTGGCAGATGGCAAGTTGGAAAACAAATGCAGAAAAAGACAAGGGAGAACAGAAGTATTAGGAATAAACCACTTCCCCCAGCTGCCTCAGTAGAGCTGGCTGTCTCCTATCAGGTCCTCCTGAAGATTGAGGCTGAGCAGCCTTCGATGATAGGGATGAGCATCCCAGAGGCTCAGCCCACCCCACTGCTCTGCTCACTGTGGACATGCAACATGGGCAGTCCCACCCCCAGTGGCCTGGCCCATGCTGACCAACTGATAAATCTGGCTGTTGAACCGAGTTCTATTTCTAAATACTGTAAAATCCACCCAGAGACCTGGGTGTGGACTGAGGACCCTCACATCCAGCTCTTAGGACATGAGTTTTCATCATGAAGGAAATTGCTCCTTAGCACAGATTGTTAAGGAACTGATAACAATCTGTTGCCAAGGTAACTATTCTTCTAAGAAGGTCAAACAGAGAAATTACTCAGATTGTCGATAGTGATGTAATTTTGAACCCACTGGCCATCTGGCCTCAAGTCAAGAAGCAGAGCCAAAAGCCCATGCACATTTTTTTTTTTTTCCTTTTGCTTGCAATTTTCTTAAGAGTCCAGGCATGGGAACCTTGTCCACACCCCCGGTCCCTGCAGCCAGAGGGAGCAGCAGTATTTGTCTCCCTGCCTGGGAAAGAAAAGAGGTCCTTTGTGGAGCCACTTGAGAAGGCCCCCAGCCAAAGTCTCCCTCTTCCAGCTCTTGTCAATGCCCCTGCCCGAGGGGAGCCCAGAGAACAGCCTGTCAGCTCTTTTCATGGCTGGGAAAGTCAGGCTTTCTGTCGCCTTGGCTGGGCTCAGGGACTTGGATCACTGATCCTCAGCCCAGGATTTACACAGAGAGAGCAAAGAAGGATGGGAAATGCCAGCCCTTTCACTGATTGAGAATCAGGGACTTTCAGAGCTGGAGGAAACCTTGACAGGCCACGGGTGCAGCCACCCTGCTCCCCCTGGATGAGAAATGGAGCCCAGCCATGGTCACACAGTTCCAGGTCCAGAGTTCTTGCTGCCCAGAGTCAGAAGGTCTGGGTGAACTGGGTCTTGAATCTGGCCTATCTGGATGCTAGACAATGCCCTGCATCAGCCAGTCCTGGCTCTTCCTTGCAGAACTTCAATTCCCTGACTCTGCCAATTCCCAATAAAAGAGGAGATTCATCTCACAACTCTTTGTCCATCTCCATCTAACTAGGCAATCTAGCTTCAAGACCAGGGCCAAGCCCAATTCTCTCTAGCTTATTCTGGAGGGATCCAGATTCTTGGAAGAGCAATCGCAAACTCTTCAGAATATTATTTAAGGCCAGTTGATTGTAGAAAGAAAACAGGCTTTGGAATCAATCAGACAAGGGCTCAAAATCTGACTCCACTACTTTCTTGCACTTTATATGGTTCAGATTACTTAAGTTTTCTGAGCTTTAATGACTTCATCAGTAAAATGGAGATAATAATCTGTACCAGGGAAGTTTTAAGAATTCCATTGAGTGTCTGCAGGGTACAGTCAATATCATGTCTGGCACAGGGAAGTTCCAGTAATTGGCAGCTGATTCCCTCTGGAATCCTTCACCTTGCCAGGCCTGTGTCTTGGTGGCTCCCTGCATTTTGAACCATGCAACTTGCTGTTGACTTCATTTATTTATTTATTTATTTATTTATTTATTTATTTATTTATTGTTTTTCATCCTAAGTAAATGTTTCTCACACATGTCTTTCTTTTCTTTCCTTTTTGGTGTTACTGGAGATTGAACCCAGGGCCTGAGGCATACTATGCAAGAGGTTTACCACTGAGCTATCTCCCCCAGCCCCTCACATGTGTGCAGGGCCTGTGGTGAGTTCTTAGGATGCAGAAACCACTCTGCTCCAGGTCCTGCCACTTGGAGTCTCTGGCTGAATGAGAACACAGCAATTGGTCAAGAACTGAGCAGCCACTTCACAGGGCAAGAGAGCTTATAGGTAAGGTATCAACACCAGCCTGAAGTAGCCCAATGAGGGACAAGGAATGCTTCATGATTATTGTCCAAATTCCTCTTCTGAATTAACAGGAATCTGTATCCCATTCTCATCCCAGAGATCCGGAGGCCTGGGTCAGAAGCAAAAGTTGCTTGCATAGGATGGAACAACAGAGAAGTCTGAGTCAAGAACACAGCAGACTCTCAATTCTGGGCCAAGTCCCAAGAAGCTCTCCAGAGCCCAAGGTAGGGATTCAGCGCATATAATTTACTAAGGAGAATGCTCTCAAGGAAGGGGAGTGTGGGAAGAAGGGAAGACAGGGAATGTGGTATCAGCAGGAGTCCATCTTTGCCTTCCCACAGAAGTTCTGCAGCAAGAATTGCAGCATCCCATTCCCTCCACCATAAGACAAAGGAGCCAGACTTCTGTACCCTCTGCCATCTTTTGTTAGTTGTGGGTTTTGGAGAAGATTGTGGGGCACCTGACAAAAGAATTTCTGCTGGACTATGACAGTTCTGGAGGGCAGGGGAGCTCCAAGCCCTCAGCAGCCCACTCTGACCAAACCTGGAGGATGGGCACATTGCCTGCTCCACTGTCCAGGAGGCTAGGCAGAGGCAGACCTTTGGGAACAGCCACATAGCAACGGGATTCAGAAGGCTTTTAAATTTCATTTTATTTGTTCTTTTTAGTTACACATGGCAGTATATTTTGACATATTTATTCAAAATATATCTTGTTCTAATTAGCATCCCAATCTGTGGATGTGCATGGTGTGGATATTCACTGTGGTGTATTCATATATGTACACAGGAAAGTCATGTTAGAGTCATTTCACTGTCTTTCCTATCCCTCCTCCCTTCCCTCATTCCCTTTTGCCTAATCCACTGAACTTCTATTCTCCCCACCCCATTGTACGTTAATATCATATGTGATTTTTTTACAAGCACACCTTGAGCTTGGATTGTCCAGCCTCAGGAACTGTGAGAAGTAAATGTTACTGCCTGGAGAGAGCTTTTCTCTGAGTTGAACTGCTGGACATTCTGGAAGAAGTACATTTGCTCTTCCAGCGGAGAATGGAGTAGGGCAAAGCACATTCTAAGCACATTCCTCATCCTTGGGAATTTATTGCAGTAGCCTGAGCTGACTAAGACAACAACTTTCCCAGGTTGGGACACTTTTCCCATGGTCTCTCACACTCCTACAGGTCTTGCCACATCCTCATCTCTCTTTACCTGGCCACATCTTGAGGTTCTGTTTGCAGCAAGCACTCTTGGGAGATAAAATCTCTCTCCAAGACAAAAAGCAGGTTACTTTAAGGCAGTGGCCCCATGTTCCTCCCAGGGTGTAACTAGCTGGGTGTGGTCTCCCACTAAGACTCACCTCTGGGCCTTGGGGCTCAGGGAACTGAGGTGAGTGAGCCGACACTACGGCTCCTGCCATGGCTTTGAGAAAGTCTTTAGTTCCTGACTCTGGAGTATCTTGTCTTCTGTCAGCACCCATGTAACCACAACAGGTCACCTTGTTAGCTTGCAAGGTAAAAAAAAAAACCTCAGCCTCTCACAGTCCCTAGCATCTCACATTAGTTGCTACTACTTTGAGTTCTAGCAATCTACTCACAGAGCCCACAAACCCAGAGAAAATCCCTGTCTCTGGCTCTTGAAAGACCCAGGGCTCTTGGCCTGTCTCATTTCTTTCCACCATCAAACCACTAGGTGCCTCTTTAGCCTGTGGATGGTGGATGCTCCAGTCAAGGGTACCAAATGCCCAGACCAATTCTGCCTCCTGTTACTGCGTCTACCTGAGCTCTTCCCACTGGAAACTTACATTACACAACTTTTTTGTTTCCCAAAGTCCGTGCCTTTGCAGGCTAATCCTTCTGCCTTTAATTAACCTTCACTGATCACATTCCAGAGACCTTTCTCCAGAAAGGTTCCCGTATGGTCTAGTTAGCTCAGTTGAGTTCCCTGCACCCCCAGTAGTTCCCCACTGCATGTTACACACAATAGCATCAATTAGTACCATACTGTGGCCAATTAAGGGCTCTACCAATGCTGTGAGCCCCTTGGAGACAAGAACTGTATCTTGTTCATCTTACCATGTTCAGTGCTTAGGTGGGGTAGTGCTCAGAAATTTTGAATGAATGTATATTGAAAGAAAGAAAGAATGAATGAATGAATGAATGAATGAAATGAACTGATCTTGTTCCTTTGAACTCTTCTGGGACTTACTTTATGGCAATCTATAAGGACTCAGTTCACACGTCTCATTCAGCTTTGCGTTATTATCCTTACGTGTAACCATTGAGAGTTAAGACTATAGCTTCTTGTTTAGACTAGGTTAGTTCTTTGGAGTTTTTCCAACTTTGTTTTATAGATAGATTATTTTAAAATCTTAGCTCAATGATAGCAAGAAGAACTGTGGAGTTTGTTAAATTTTATTTAGGCTAATGAATGAATTGTCCAAGCTAATTTGCATGTCTGTTTCTAATATAATAACCAAACCAATCTCTTGGGAAAAGAAAAGGGCAATTTTTTATCACTTCCCTACATCCATTCACCACCTCCAATTAGGTTTCAGGAGGATAATTTGTTTCAACAAATATTTATTGAGCATCTCATAATATTCCCACCCCCAGGTGCCTGGATGAGGTCCCAGTCAATGCATTGGCAGAGAGTGGAGCTCCGATCTTATTTATAGACTGGAAGACTGAACAGAGCCTTGACTGCAACGTCAAAATGCAAGCTGCTGAGCAGTTGATCTGAAAATCCAAAAGATCATGAATAAACATATGGATGAGTGGATGGCCTTTTGACAGCTCCACTTAGAATGTGCTTTGCCCTACTCCATTCTCTGCTGGAAGAGCAAATGTACTTCTTCCAGAATGTTCAGTAGTTCAGCTCAGAGAAAAGCTCTCTCCAGGCAGTAACCGAGGGTGGAAGGTCAGCAAACACTCACTGAGCAGACCAAGTCCTGAGCAACAATGCAGTTGGTTTGTGAGCAGAGAGCTTGCTTCCTTGTCAAGTTATCATAAATCTCTTTTCAACTCTAGTTTACTTCCTTGGGAAAGGAAGATAGACTTCTTGTCTGTCCTGTCACTTCTCTCTTTGTGACATGGAAGATAACACTATTCGAGGGTTAGGAGTGTAGTCGCTTTTCTTCACACACCATTGGGGAGTCTAGATGGGACTGTGGTCTGAGACCTAAGAGCTGGACATGGGTGGTAAAATTTCAAGAAAGAGAGGAAGAAGAAATAAGAGTCCCCACTGTTTCCATTTGCCCCTTGGCACCATTGAAAAGGAAATTAAGAGAAAAAAAAAAAGAAGCCTACTAACCAGCAAGTCAGCAGGACCAGCTGAGAACCGAGTCATCAATTTTTTTTTCTGAGAAGCTAAAAAAATACTTTGTGAGGGTGTTAAAAATAATCTAACACAATAATAAGACTTAATTAGGCACCAGCTCTGCTCTCAGGAAAACTGAACCCAAAGATGAAAATGAGTAGGCTTCAAAGAAAATATTTTCTAGGGAATCAATGAAAGAAGCCAGTGTTATCTGATTGCCATTTTTAGAAGCTGAGAAAACAATTTATTTTTTTCTAATGTATTTTTATTCTTATCTAATATCAAAAGACCCTCCCCCTCACCACCACCACATACACCCCCTCAGTAATTTTGCCAACCCCCATCCGTGCAATCTTGTTCTGGAAATGATGAGATGGAAGCCTGTGGGTTAGGCTCATCATGAATGCCTTTGAGTTCTGCTTATTGGGAAGAAATTCAGAAGTCTTCAGCAGGGATCTCAAAAGAAGGAACTAAAAGGGATATGATTTGGTGTGATGGTGTGATGGAATACCACGTTCTTTTAGAAAGATTTTTAAAAATCATAATACAGGCATTTTTAATTGTTCTTCTAAATAAATAATTTATAAAAATACTGGGGAAAGAAAAAGATAAGGTTTTTCTTAGTTCTTTATGTATTTCTCTCACATGGCACTGGGGGATGCTCATAAAACAGAAGTGCCCCAAAGTGATCCGGGGGGCAGCCAGGCCATGCCGCCTCTTCTTTTATAGTCTAGCCTTCTCAGAGGCTCTGTGGATTTGTATTATGTTTTCTCCTGGGCTTTGGAAAGTATCACACTCTATCCCCTCTTCACTGGGCATTTTAACAACATTATAATAACATTATAATCCAGTTCCCTTTTTATTGTGATTTGTGTATTGGGACCTGGCTATGACTTCATTTTTCAAAAGGAGTTCTGCTACTAACAAGAGTCCAGGAGACTCCTGGAGACACCATCCAGAAGGAAGTAAGGTGATTTTCACTTCTTGATGAGGCATTCACCATAAACTTGGAACTTCTTCAAGTTCACTGTTTCCCTTGCAATGGGGGCGGGGGAGAAAAGAAAAAGAACAAAAGCAGCGGTATAGGTATGGGTTGCTCTGAAAAGGTGGATAATTCACCTTCTCCCACTTTTACTCACAAAAACTGTTGTTCAGAGGAGAAAGCCCAGGTGCTTTGGCTGGAAGCTCTGATAAAAATTTCCTCTACAGAACTTTAAAGCAATAACAATTCTAAAGCTTCTGTTAAAGAGAGTGTGCATATGTCTGCACATGCATCTGGCCAAAGATGGCAACTTCTGAGTAGGCAATGTTAACTGCCCTTTCAGTTGAGGCTCAGGACACAGTTTGAATGAGGAGGCTGGGGTGAATGAGGAAAATTTCCAGTTTCCTCAAGAGACATGGAGAGGAGGGGAGTGAGGAGGTGATCTGGGGACTGGGGTAGCCAGGAGGGGAAGGAAGAACTTAGTAGGGAGACCAGGCAGCACCATGGCAGCCTCCCTGGGCTGAGGGAGAGTTGGCTAAAGTTGCTCTGCTGTGGAACAAGAGTCAGCTTTAGCAACAGTGATGTTGAATACTCAAGTTCCTAGCCCGTGCCTAAACCACCCTCCTGTTAACGGCAAAACCTTTAGTAAAATCTGCGACATGCC